ACTGGTGGCAATGTGTTGGGTATGGGGGAACATCCATGCTGCAGAACAAATAGCGCACAAACAAATAAGAATATCGAACGTTATCGTCAAGCGACACATAACAACTCAAACGGAAGCACTAGAGGAGGGACATATGAAACATCGGAGAAACATCACATAATATAGCGATGCGAGAGATACGCGCCAAAGAAATATAGAAACAACTGGGAACTGCGAGAACACAACTTCCGCACGCCGAAAACGCACGGCGATAACGGAGGCTCGCACCGAGAAGCCAAATAACAACACCACGCAACACTTTGTCTGCAACGCGCACGGGGCACGGTTAACGCGCGGGCGAAACGGCGAGAAAGGGCGGCAACAACAACTAAAAGTCAACGGCGCGATGTCAGCTTGCAGTGCAAAGCCACGTGCGGCCAAGCGTACGTTTCCAAGTTCCCACGCCCCAAAACAGCCCGATCGGCGTCCAGGAAAGCTCTCGACGGCCCAATGGACCTTCGAGAACGCCCGACGACAGCCCGAAAAGGACCTAAGATATCCCACGACGTCCCCCAGACGGCCCCAAGGAAACGTGACGACGGCCCCAAGGCAGCCCAAGAACCAACCAGTATTGACTGAAAGTGCCCCTCCAAGGCCCCACAGCCCCCGCGGGCGCTAGAGGGGGCAAAATCGCCCTGACACGGCCTAGGAAATGCCGAATACACCCCAAATGGGCCCCAACAACCCTCCAGGGATTCCATGAGAAGGCTCACCCGAGCGGCCGTTCCAGCGCGTTGGCGGAATCGCGCGGCAGCGCAACTGGACGTGACCTAGACCTGGGAGCTCCATGGGCACGGCCGCACGCGCGCACATGGCGCAAATTCAATATCCTCCAAGATGGCCCCAGGAGCGTTCCCAAAGCCCAAAGAGCGCCCCCAAGGCTCCCAAGAGCGCTCCCAAGAGCACCCCTGGAGCTCCCCAATGTTTGTTTACGGACCTCCTCCAAGACGGCCCCAAGAGCGCTCCAAAGACTCCCAAGAGCGCTCCAAAAGGGCCCCAAGAGGCGCCCGGGAAGCCCGAAGAGGCACCCAAGAGGAACCCAGGAGGCTCCCAAAAGACCACAAGGAAGCCCAAAGAGGCTCCCCGAAGCACCCAGGACGCCCATAGAGGCCTCCGGAACCGCCAAGAGCTCCAGAAAGGCTCCAAAAGACTTCCGAAAAGCTTCCACAAGACGTACGGAGAGATTCCAAGAGGCATCGCATTCAAGAGGCTTCTGTCTCGTCTGCTCGCACTTTTCCTCCTCCTCCTCCTCCTCCTCTTCCTCCTCCTCTTCCTCCTCCTCCTCCTCGTCCTCGTCCTCGTCCTTCTCCTCCACGTCCGTGTACTCCTACTCCTCCCTCCTCCGTCCTCCACCTCCCCGTTCCTCTTCCTCCTCCTCCTCCTCCTCAGTGTTACCCTGTTCTTTCCTCCTCGCCGTCCTCCTCCTCCTCCTCCTCCTCCTCCTCACGCCTCCTCCTCCTCCTTCCCCTCTTCTCCTCCTCCATCTCCTCCTCCTCCTCTCCCTCTCCGACTCTCCTCCTCCTCCTCCTTCCTCCTCCTGTTCCTGCGCCTGGCCTCCCCCTCCCCCTGCCCCCTCCCCCTCCCCCTCACCCTCTCCTCCTCTCCGCTCCTCCTCCTCCTCTTCCTCCTGCCTCCTCCTCCATCATCATTTCATCATCAGCATCATCGTCCATCATCCAGCATTATCATCATCATCAGCATTCAGCATCAGCATCAGCATCAGCATCATCATCATCATCATCATCCATCATCATCATCTCATATCATCATCACCATCATCATTCTCCTCATTCTCCCCTCCTCATCTGCCTCCATGCCTCCTCCCCCCCCTCCCCTCCTCCCCTTCCTCCCCCTTTCCTTCTCCTCTCCGACTCCTCCCTCCGTCTCCTGTCCCTCCCCCTCCTCCTCCTATCCCTTCCTCCTCCTCCTCCTATCCTCCTCCTCCTCCTCCCCTCCTTTTTTTCCTCCTCCTCCCCATTCCTCCTTCTCCTCCTCCTGCTCCTGGCCCTCACATCCCCCTCCTCCTCCGTCTCCCCCTCCCCTTCCCCTCTGCTCCCTCCCATTCCGCCTCCTCCTCCTCATCCTCTCCTCTTCTTCTTCCTCCTCCTCCTCCACTCCTCCTCCTCATCCTCCTCCGCCTCCGCCTCCTCCGCTTCCTCCGCCTCCTCCACCTCCTTCGCCTCGTCCACCTCCACCTCCGCATCCGCCTCCTCCTCCTCTCCTCCTCCTCCTCCTCCACCTCTTCCTCCTCCTCCTCCACTTCGTAGTACTCGTGTCCTGAGTACTCTTAGTATTTGTCGCATTCGTAGTATTATTCGTTGTATCATCAGTATTATAAGTACTAGCAGCATAATCATGTTGCTTGCCAGTATGCGGATCAGTCATTTTATGATTCCTACTCTTCTATGTATGATAATGAGCGCTACTGATTAATCACACGAACGGCATTAATCGTATTGTTATTGGTGTGCATGGTATTAGTATTATTAGTATTGGTATCATCATTGGTTATAGTTCATCGTCAATCGTAGTATGCGTCTTAGTGTATTGATTATTATTATTGTTATTATTATTATTATCATTATTATTATTGTTAGTATTATTATTATGATTCATCCTCTTCTCCTCCTCCTCCTCTCGTTCCTCCTCCTCCTCCTCCTCCTCCTCCTCCTTCTCATCCTCCTCCTCATCCTCCTTCTCCTCCTCCTACTGATCCTGCACCTCCAGATGTTCCCAAGGAATCCAAAGGCTGCACCTGAAGATTGTGAGCGGCTCCTCGGCCCGAACCCCCATCGTACGCCAACATCAGCGCCCAAGCTCTACCTCGAGTTTCTAGGAACAAACATACTCTCAACATACTTTCTCGAACGTCCGCGCGAAGTTAGTTCTGGGATCGGCGCTGGACCCTCCCTGGCGCGCACAGCGCGCCATGGGCGGCGCTGGAGGCGGCGCCAGGGGGGCCCGCCGCCGCCCGCGCCGATCCCAGAAATCCACGCGGATCTCCGAAGAGGTCATGTCCATGCAATGCTAGGCTCCGCGATGCATGAGCAGAGGGAGGAGGAGCCAGGTGAGGGCGAGACAAAACAGTGGAGGCCAGTCCACAAGACACCTCCCACAAAAAAAACAGCCCTGAGACCCCAGGACGTCCGTTGACTTTTGGTGTGGCAGCGCCACGCTCTCCATGGCAGAGCCATCGAGACCCAAGAAACCCAAGGCACCACCCTGGAGGCAAGCAAGAAGGCATTTCTTTATGTTCGGCGATGACGGGCGTCATGGGGGGGGGAGGGCGGGGGGGGGTATGACGTGACGCCCCCCCCCCGCCGTGTGGCTCCGGCACCACAGCCGCGCCCGCGCGCACGACGCGACGAGCGACGAGCGACGAGCGACGACGACGACGCGAGCAGCATGTAAGTGGCGATCTGCCCATTGCGCCTGTGTACACCACAACGCTCGCGTGCACCACACCGCGCGTGTGCACCACAGCGCCTGCGTACACCGCAACAGCCGTGTGCAACGCACCGCCCGCGTATACCACAATACTTGGGAGCACTACAGCGCCGGTGTACATACACCGCAGCAGCCATGTGCAACACAACGCCTGTGTACACCACAGTGCTTGCGTGCACCGCAGCGCCTGTGCACGCCACAGCGCCTGTCTACACCACAGCATCCGCGTGCAACGCAGCGCTGGTGTACACCACAGTGCCTGCGTGCATAGGACAGGTAGAAGGAGCATGTACGTCAGGATCTGATGCGGACAACTAAACGCCACGCCAGGAAAGTTCTGATAATCGAATGCGACGTTTTTCCCTCCTCCCTCCTCCTCCACCTCCTCCTCCTCCTCCTCCTCCTCCTTTTCCTCCTTCCTCCTTCTTACCCCCTGTCGTGCGGCTTGGCGTTACAACGCACGTGCGCATCTCAGCGTGCACCGCAGAATGGTCGATTGAATCGGTCCACTTGGTTCTCGGACGGCCAGTTTAGCTGGAGCCTCCTGGACGCAAGTGGGAGTTAGGGTGATGCGGGCGGACTCGGGGGGACTCGTAGATTCCAGCGGCGCTCCTTTGTCCATGAGGATTTGTTTTCCATTGTTTTCTCTGGAATCCACACGCGCTCCATTTTGTCACAAGGATTCCTTCTGAAATTCTATACACAACAATGGTGCTGTGTTGCACACGGCTGATGTGGTGCACACAGGCGCCGTGGCGTACACAGGCACTGCAATGCACGCAGGCATTGTGATGTACACTGGTGCTGTGTTGCGCACGGCTGATGTGGTGTACGGAGGCGCTGTGGTGTACACAGGAGCTGCTGTGCCCGCAGGCACGGTGGCACAAACTGACGCTGTGTTGCACGCGGCTGCTGTGGTGTACATCGGCGGTGTGGTGTACACAGGCGCTGTGGTGCACGCGGGCACTGTGATGTACACAGGCGTTGTGGTGCATATCGCCACCTACATGTTCGTGCTACCCGTCCTCCGTCATTCCTAACCATTCCCAAACGCCGCCGGCGCGAAACGTGACGTCATCGACCCCCTCCCCCCCAGATGATTGCCGTCATCGGCCCGGACTTAAAAACAGGCTCCAGCCGCGTCCGCGCGCACGACGACGATGAGCGACGAGCGACGAACCACGAGCGACGACGACGAACGACGACGACGACGACGACGACGACGACGACGACGCCTGCGGACCAGACACCTATGCGGATTCCTACGCGGACACCTACGCGGATCCCAATGCGCACGGCGGCAGTGCCCGGAGCGCACTGGGGGGGGGAGCGTTACGTCATAGGGGGGGGGGGAGCGGGGGCCATGACGCCCGTCATGCCCCAAGCAATAAAGAAATGGCCTCCAGGGTGTTTCTTGGCATGGGTCCCTACTGTCTGAGGCAAACGAGGCAGAGAGGCATGCAACTGGAACTACGCGGCTCAGGGCGGAGGGGAGATGTGCCGACCGCGCGGGCTCCTGAGCAGGATCATGGCGACCATGCCGGACAGGAAGACCAGGATGAGGACCGAGTTGAGGATCGCAAACCAGTGGATCTGGCCTCCCCGCCGCCTGCTCTTCTGGATGGACAGAACAACGACATAAACATGTTTCGGCGGCGCCAGGGCCCCGTGGCACGCTCCGCGCGCCATGGAGGGGGGGGGGGGGACAGCGCCGATAAAAGAAATTATCGCGGACCTCAAACGTTTATGTTTATGCCAGGTGTTCCTTCTTCGATCTTCGAGGCCAGAACCTGCGAACACATGCACAAGAGGCCGTGAACCTGGCTATTGTTAAGCCCCCCGAGGCCCTAAACTATCCACGACTGCCGCCCCTGGAAATACAACACGACCAAACAAGAAAAACAAACAACATGATACGTAGATGGAAACGGAAAGAGAGAGAGAGAGAGGCGACACAGAGAGAGAGAGAGAGACGGATAGATAGTGGGGGGAGCCAATTAAGGGAAAGAGGGTCAGAGAGATGGAGAGAGGAGAATTCGACAGAGAGGGAGAGAGAGAGAGAGAGGGAGGGAGAGAGACGAGAGAGAGAGAGAGAGAGTGAGACAGAGAGAGACAGAGACGGATCAAACATTGAGAGGGAGGAAATCCGCCCACCCTGTCGGCGTGTGCGAAACGCTGTTTCGTTTGACTCGTCGTCGTTTTCGTCATCGTCGTCGTCGTCGCCGCCGCCGCTTCCCCCCTTTCCCTGGGCCTTCATCCAGAAGAGCACCAGCCATAGCGAAATTGAGCAACGTCGCAGGTGAATCGAAGGGAAGCCCCTTCCCTTTGATCCCGTCCCTGCCTGGGGAGTTCTCGGGGGGGTATTCAGGGGAGGTGTGGAGGGTAGGTGTTCAGGAGGCGTGTTGAGGGGGGGGGAGGGGGTCCTGGGTCAGAATACCATCCCCCCGGGGGTCCCAGAGCCCGAAAGGCTCCAAGAGGCCCCCAAGACGGGCCACGAGTACCCCAAGAGGCCCCCAAGGCAGTCCAACAGGGCCTCGAAGCGCCGAACGATCGCTCGAAGACGCCCAAGATCGCCTCAAGAAGGCCCAGGAGGCCTCCAAGACAGCCCACGAGGCCTCCAAGAGCACTCCAAGGAGGGCCCAAAGAGAAGCCTGATTTAGTTTCCTGTAGGTGTTTGGCATATGTTGGTGTTCTCGCCTTTTCGGCTCCCCGACGCTCCAAGACGGTCAAAGAGGTCCCCAAGATCGCCCCAAGGCGGCCCAAGAGGCCTCCAAGAGGGCCCATAAATGACCCAAGTGGACCCCACGACGGCGAAAGAGGCCTCCAAGGCGGCTCACGAGGCCACCAAGATTTCTCCAAGAGGGTGCTCAGACGGTGGACCCGAACGAACATTTCGAGCTCTCGGCCCCGAGAGGCTCCCAGGAGGCCCCAAGAGGCCCCAAGAGGGCCCCAAGAGGCCCCGAGCGGCCCCAAAGAGGTCCCCCAGAAAGCCCCACGAGGCCCCCTGCTCCCAAGAGGCTCTCCAGTGGCTCCCACGAGGCCCCAAACCTGTCCCCCCAGAGGCCCCCGAGAGCGCTCCGAGTCAGCGTCGTCGTCGTCGCCGCCGCCGCCGCCGTCCTCGTCGTCTCCCTTGAGGGTCGGCGGCACCGCCCGTAAGGCCTTCGCAAGAAGGGAGATGGAGATAGAGAGATAATGGGAGAGAGGATGACTCGACAGAGAGGGAAAGAGAGAGAGAGAGAAACAACAAAAGAAAATGGAGAAATAAAGAAATCAAGAGAGACAGAGAGGGTGGGTGGGGGGGAAAAGAGAGGCAGGCGCTCTCTCTCTCTCTCTGTCTCTCTGTCTCTCTCTCCCTCCCCCATCTCACTCACAGCCGGATGCAAGGAGCAACCAGTGCTGAATAGTATTCGGAGTTTAGGGGGTGAGGTAAAAGTGCAACGGCGTCCCCCGCTGGTAAAATCGCCTTCATGTTCGCTTCGCGTTGTGAATGACGTGCAGGCGAGGCGAAGCTGCGCAAGAGCGAGGGAGATCCTGGCCGTGTTACTGCCCCCGGCCATCAATCTGTTGCGCCCCTGCGGCGGCCGGGTGCTCTCGAGGATGCCCTGTGGTGTTCACGAGGTTGTCCCGCGGTTGTCCCTTGGTTATCCCATGGTTGTTCTGTGGCTGTCCCGAGACTGACTCGTGGTCTTCTCGTGGTCCGTCCATGGCTGTTCTGTGCTTGCCCGCGCGGTGTCCCGCGGTTGTCCTGCGGTTGACCCGTGGTTGTCCCGAAATTGTCCCGCTGCTGTCCCGTTGCTGATCCGCGCTTCTCCTGTGGTCGTGTCGTGGTTGTCCTGCGGTTGTCCTGACGTTGTTATGTGGTTGCCCCGTGGTTGTCCAGTGGCTCTAGGCTTGTAGCAGATCGATCGATAAAAAATTCGATTGGTAGACACATAGCGAGATCAATGGACATAACAATAGACGGATAGCGAAATCGAGCGATAGACAGACAGGCAGCGATCGAGCGACAGCTAGAAAAATGTCCGTCGAGAGATCGCTGAATTGTCACATAGTGGCATCGATCGGTAGATGCACACATCGATGGATACACAAATCGGTAGCGAGATCGATCGACCCGCAACTGTGTCTCTGACACGACGTCGAGTGCCCCAGGGCCCACTGCTGCTGCAGCCACGATCGTAAATCCCACCAGCAACCTGGGCGTAGGCGGTCTAGGGCGTTTCCTCGTCCACCCTCCTTCTTCCTCTTCGGCGAAAGGTTTACCCCTCCCCCTACCCCCATTCCCTAGACCTGGACGGGGGGGTTCGCGAGCGGCCGGGGCGTCCAACATGGCCCAAGACGGCTACAAGAGGGCCTCAGAGCGCCCAAGATGGCCTCCAATATGGATCAAGACAGCGCAATGTGCCTCAAGATAGCTTCCAACATGCTCCAAGATGCCCCAAGAAAGTTCAAGGACGGCTCCAAGTGGCCAAAGAGCTCCCCAAGGAAGCCCCGAAGAGGCCAACATCCTTCCAGAACCTAGAGAAAATCAATGTGATTTGCGTTCTCTCCTTTTCGCTTTTCGCTTCCGATGGCCATCTGAGGCATCAAAATGGTTCCAAGATGGGTTAACAGAGCCCCAAGAGAGGCCCAAGAGAGCCCGAAGACGCCCCCAAGAGCGCCCAAGAGCTACAAGAGCGCCCAAGAGGCGTTTGCTGGGGCTCCGACGGGGGGCGCTGGTTTGAACCCCCCTCTTGTTTGATCGATGGCCTCTAAGATGGAGCGCCCCTAAAGCCCCCAAGAGCGCTCCAAGAGGGCCCCAAGAGGCACCGAGACAACTCCAAGTGGCCTCCAAGAGGCCCCCAAGAAACCCCCAAGAGACCACGAAATGATCCCCGAGGTACCCAAGACGATCAACGACGGCTCTGGGCTCGATGCCCCCAAAACGCTCAAAAAGGCATCCAAAAAGCTCCAAAAACACATCCGAGGAGACTCCGAGAAGCGTTCAAAAAGCTTTGGGCTCTTCTGTTCGCCATCCCCTTCCTCTTCCTCATCCGCGAATTCATGTTCCCCTCTCCCCTCCTCCCCCTCCCCATCCTCCTCATCATCCTCCTTCGACTCCTTCTCGTCGTCCTCCTCCTCACCCTACTCCATCTCCTCCTCCTCGGTCGGTCGGTCGGTCGGTGACTAAGGGAATGAGTCTGAATCCCAATCGATGTGTGAGACGAGAGCGGCAGCAGAGAGAAAAAGAGGCGGAGGCAGCGATCGCGGCAGCGTGCAAGCCTCGAGGGTGAGCCCCTCACTAACAAAGCCCAGTCCCAGTCCACTATGAGCCCCTTTAAATGCCCAGTCCTGGTACTGGGAGTCGAGCCCGTACTCGTGGTGATCGACCGCGCACTTAGGTAGGTCAACCACGGTCGGTGGGGAAAATGACGGGCACCAGGTGCTGGTACAAATTCGGGCTAGTCGGGGTACTGCCGACAAATCGGCGAAAAACATACCTTCCCCCGAATACAGCAAGAGTTCCGGTGTTGCGCACACCACTAGCCGAAAAAACCATCATGATGGTGCGACCACCCCACAAGGAAACAGTTAGAAGCGCCCTTCCCTCTTAGGGTACTGCGAGATTAGGTGCCGCGCACTCCACGCTTCTATGAGGGGAGAATAGATGTGCCCTGCTGAGCGTGGTCCCGGTCCCCGAACTCCAAGAAAAGGATCGAGTGGCAGATGGAAAGGGGCAAACTTCTCATCCAAGGCCTGATGGGGGTTTCCCAGGAGCATCAAACTGTGCCCGCACGGAGGCGAAAACCGACATGGCCAGGAACCGAGAAAGGGGGGATGGATAAAATCTGGCGTCCTTGTTCTGCCTCCCACCATCCCTATTATCGCGGATAACTATATGTGTGCAAAGTGCTGGCACCTCCCATGATGCGGTAACTCCCTGAGAAGCTGGCACATCATTGTCACGCTAATGCCCAACAGGGAGGTCGGTTTCTTGGCCCTCATACCAAACATACACTTGTCAATACGCAGCAGATGGACTCCAGGCATCCGCGCAAAACGCACCATGAATGGGAGATGCCAGCACCTGGACTCACTTGGGCGGCTATCTGCGGGAGCAGGATGTTCCATGATCGCTGGCAGCCCCAGCCTCCATGCCTCGACGAGAAACTCAATGGTGGTCCTCATTAGGGCATTGCCCACGCCGACCTTGCTCTGTTCACAATGCCTTAGAGAACGTACTCCCCATGGCATGCTTTGAGACCTTAGTACTCGGGATTGGGGTCGTGGGAAATTCTCTGGAGCCTCTTCACCTGCATCCTTCCACGTGTCACGAGGGGGGCGCGCAACTATACCCGCCACCCAACCGTCTCGAATCAGGCTCATTCAAAACCTAACGACATCTGGTTTGGCCAGGTCCCCATGGGTGGTTCCGTGTGCTATGTCGAGAGACAGCGCAACAACGGGTGCACAATATTGCACCACCATTTTTTCAAACCATTCCTGAAAGTCTCCTTCCCTACGGTGGCCCGAGAAAAGGTGAAGGGGAAAGCGGCGGGGCCGCCCAGGGGGGGGGTGGGGGGGGCAGAAGGGGGGGGGGGGGGGCGGAAGGGGAAGC